CAGGTAATTGCATTTTCTTGATATTCAACTTAGTTTAATCATGCATATAGTGGAGTCTTGTTGATACGTTCGTTTCTTGTGCTTTAGTGAAATTATGCCTCGGATTAAAGATTTAAAGCTAAAAAAAATAGCTTTCTCCTTCTTTCTTTACTTGAGTTTCAAGTTCAATGTTGGAAAAGTTGTAAACCTTTAGTTCTAATAAAATGCTCTAAATGTTATTCTGTGGTGAGGGAGTCTACATTATATTAGTATTTGAATCCTTGTTGTGCTTGCATCATTTGAAAATTTATGAGTCTGTGAGTGGAACACAAGTCATATGAGTGTTTGTAGGGAAGTTTGTCATTGTCTTGGAATGGTAGTCTATAGCAGGCACTCATATATACAGCCATACAGGATGAGCTCATACCTCCTATGAGGTTGTTGTCATGGAAATTGTCACTGCAAAGATGGACATTCATAATGGGTGTCCAAATCTGCATTCAATATAAATAGGACACAAGCTGATTGAATGATTTAGTGGTGATGCAGTTGTACATTATATGCCTTGTAAAATGAACTGTTTGATTTTTCCTCATGTCCACTTAATTGCTGGTGGATGAATAATTTTGATATGAAGTTACAGCATTCCCATATGTTAGCTTGGATTGAGATAAATGAACTATTTCTAGAGAAGTATTTTCTAGATTTAGTTAGCTTTCCCAGAAGGTGGACCATAATATCAAACAAATTGTCAGATGCTTTGTTGAAGTATTCAGATGCTTTCTATTCTACAAACTGCAGGCGCTCATTTCTAGAGCAGAAGTTGGCAAGCTTAGATTTGCCAAAGTAGGAGCAAAAGGTTCTTCTCAAGGACTTGGAACGTAAAGAGACAGAATATATACGTTTCCAAGTATGTTTAGATTATCTTTTTAGATTTAAATATATTATGCACCTATAAGTTCAATAAATAAATTTTTTTTTTAGCCATTAGCATTATATTTCTTGCAAAAATGGTTGCTAAAGTACATATAAACAACACTCAACTTTACATATTAAAAAACATGTTTACCTCGTAGATATACTTTTCCCAACCAACCCTTATTTCTTCACTATGTAAAGTTGATTGTTGTGTATTTATGTTTTTGATCAACTATAATTGATCCTTAACTTTATCATCAGTTCTCAAACTTTTCCCTTTGAATTACCTAATTTTCAGTTTTGTGTTCCTATTTGAGGCTATACTTTGCAATTCATTAGGCTCTTGAACCTTTCACCATTGGCTCTTGGACCATTTTAATCATTTGGAAATTTCACCAAGGGCTTTATATACAAGGCTGCTTGACAACTGCTCTTCTGGCAAGTCTGATTTTGTATGGCAAATTTGTGTTTCTTTAAATGTTCTTCTCTTCTTTTGTGAAACCACCCTCATCCTCTTAATCTTTAAAGTGATCAAACTCCTTAATGAACTAGTAAAGGCTTGTCCCATATTAGAGAAATATTGTAAGCTCTAATAGTCTAATTACCTCATCTTACCATAGCTGGTTTTCCATACGGATATGATGAATTCAATGTTTCCCAGGCTAACTTTTTTGAAAGTTCTGTTGATACAGATTGTTATTGCATTTCCTTATCGGAGGAATGGCGAAATTGTAAGCTGCAAATACCGGGATATAAACAAAAGAAAAAGATTTTGGCAGGTGCTTGTCAATACCATTTCTTTAGCTAAGAAACACATTGATTTTAAAGCTTGATATAGTGCTACAGTTTATTTTCTAAACTCCACTAGCTGCATTCACACATTATTCATATTATGATTATTATCCACATTTATTGATTCAACCCTTATTGTGTCTTATCTATAAGGCTAACCTCTTCACCTTTGAGTTGGGGAAATTCCCTCTTAATTCTTAAATGATAAAAAGTGGTGACTACTATTCAGATTTTTCATTTTAAGATTTTCTTCTATTTATTGTTCTTGATGCTTTTGATTCTAAACTATGAATATCATTTGCTTTTTATTTTGTTTTTTGGCACAGTGTTACGTTACTAATCTCTTATTGTTGTGCCATTGTTACTTTTAGGAAAGTGACACTGAAAGGATATTGTATGGATTGGATGATATAACGGGAGCAAGTGATATAATTAGTGTAATCTCAAGTCTCTTAAATTTTCCTCTTTATAGAAGCACTTTAGGATTGTGCTCTTTATAAATGCCTACTCTTTTATTGCAGATTGAGGGTGACAAAGCAATTATTGATCTGGTGCGTTCTGAATGGGCCGATATTCTATGAAGTTATTAGAGTAGGTATGATTTGATCATTAGAACGTTGTGATCATTTAGACTTGGTTCGTGGAATTGTTTTTTGTAGTATTATGACTTGGATGATATATGATTCGATTAGAATTGGTCATGGAAGTATTTAGACTTGTTATTTTGAACCTTAGCTTGTGCAAAATTATGTAACTACACTTGGCCATGGTGAATGGATAAATTGATTTTTTATATGATTAAAATTTAAGCAGGTTAAAAACGGTTAAAAACCGTTGTCTATTTTACAATAGACAACAGTTTGAAACTGTTGTCTTTTGTACAATAGACAACAGTTGAAACTGTTGTATTTTCTACAAAACACAACAGTTTATGGGCGTGACTTTTAACAACAGCGATTTCAACAACACACAATAGACAACAGTTAAAAACCGTTGTCTATGTGCATCACTTTTAACAACATCGGTTTCAACAACATTGAATAGACAACGGGTCAAAAACCGTTGTCGTTGGTAGAAAAGACAACGGTTAATAACCGTTGTCTATGTGCGTGACTTTTAACAACACCGATTTCAACAACACTTAATAGACAACGGTTAAAAAACCGTTGTCGTTGGTAGAAAAGACAACGGTTAATAACCGTTGTCTATGTGCGTGACTTTTAACAACACCGGTTTCAACAACACTTAATAGACAACGGTTAAAAAACCGTTGTCGTTGGTAGAAAAGACAACGGTTAATAACCGTTGTCTATGTGCGTGACTTTTAACAACACCGGTTTCAACAACACTTAATAGACAACGGTTAAAAAACCGTTGTCGTTTCTAGAAAAGACAACGGTTATTAACCGTTGTCTATGTGCGTGACTTACAACAACACCGGCTTCAACAACACTTAATAGACAGCGGTTAAAAAACCGTTGTTGTTTCTAGAAAAGACAACGGTTAAAAAACCGTTGTCTATGCGCGGGACTTACAACAACACCGGCTTCAACAACAGAAATTATACCCCTACGACAACGGTTATTAACCGTTGTTTATGTGCATTTTTCTTGTAGTGTTAGCAAGGTTATGGGCAACACTGTTCGCAGTACGATTAACATACGAGATAGCAACGTCGGTAAGAGAACGAAGCATATCTTTAATATCAAGCAACACTAAATCGCATGATGACACATCTTGATCACGATTGAGATTGTGGACAATCTGCAAAGCATCACATTCAACCTGCACTTTGTGGAGGTCCATTCTCTTGATCCAGCTCAATGCTTCCCTAATGGCCAAAGCCTCAGCCTCCTTTGGTGAAGAAACTCCCACGCCTGGAATGCTTGATGCCGCCAAGAACTGCCCGCTATGATCTCTCAACACCCAGCCAAACCCCACTCGGTTGTGGGTAATGTTAACAGCAGCGTCGGTGTTCAGCTTCAAATTACCTAGCCGTGGTTTCTCCCACTTGTGAATCACTGGTAAACTTATGCATGGGTTACTGGAATCTTGCTCCCAAGCTGAGTTCCAATCTGCTAGGAAATATTTGGTTCCCTCAACAAGGCATCTGCTAGATGTGTTTTTGTTGTTCCATATCTTGTCGTTCCTTGCAAGCCATATTTTCCAGCAGATCAAGAAAAGGAGACGACATTGATCTTTATCAAGCATGGTAACGAGGATATCAACCCAAAGCTCGAAGGAAGAGGTGGCATTAGTGAGAACTGGTAGGCCAATTAGATCCCAGCATTCCTTCGCGAACCTGCAGTCAATAAATAAATGGGTGGTGGTTTCCTCCGCTGATTGGCACAGAGAACATTGAGTTTGACACTCTACCCTTCTGGAACGAAGACGATCGGCAGTTGGAAGGCTCCCAGAACAGGCTTGCCATACAAACACCTTGACCTTCCTTGGTAAATTAAGCTTCCACATGGTAGACCATTTCTTTTTTTGAATAGGATCTAATTTATAAAAAAGTTGATAACCGTTATTCAATAGTACATTCTGAATAAGATTCATTTTATTACGATCTAACTAACAAAAAATTACTTCGTAGTTTATTTTATTTTGAAATTGTTAAATCAAAGTCAAAGTAATAATAATAATAATAATAATAATAATAATAATAATAATAATAATAATAATAATTGAATAGAACATGCATTAAGTACATTTAAAGTAAATATGTTTAAAAAAATTAAAAGTAAACCAAGAGATGAATCTTAAGCTTGACTCATGGTCAGTATTGTTATTGTACAAATTAAGTTTCACCCTATTTAGATTTAGATTATGTTAGTCATAGACCAATACTCGATGGACGAGACAAATTTTGCTATGGTTAAATAAAACACAAATAATGTGTATATATAATGTTAACATCATTTAAGTTCATCTAATGTTTTTTAAATTCATAAACTTGTTGTGTATGTGATATATTGATTGAGACTACATCAACAAACTCTTCGATCACTTCACTAATAGTACATATCGGTCAACTACACAATCCAAGTTAGAAACATACATTAAATCGTCTCTTTTGTCGAGGAGGGATCATTTTAGGTAGGAAAAAGATGTGAAATTACATTGGTATCCTTGTGTAACATGGAGACTTAAATGTATAACTAACGGATCTGAGAATCAATTTGAGTAAATTTTGTAAGGACGTAATAATAATCTAGTAATGCAAAATTGATAGTCGATGACTAAAATATTGAAGAAGAAGAAGAAGAAGAATAGAAAAGTGTAGCATCAATAATCTTCCATTCACATAATGACCAGCAAAATATTGTTTATAGTTTGAGGAAGGTTTAAAGTTATACAAGTAGTATAGTAGTACCAGGTAGCTAGCTACTATGTAACACCATGTACTACTTACTATATGTTATGTTGCCTATGTTGTAGAGGCTCTGATCTGTGTGCATTCAAAGAAAGGAAAACAAAAATAAAAATAAAAATAAAAAAACTTTTCAATTTGAAAGTAAAAATGGTGCAGCTTTTGAATTTGTGGTTTATTGAATTGATTAATTATCTGCACATTTGAGTTTGAGGAGGAATTCCGGCGGCCGGATGATGGGCATGGCCGGCGTCTGGGGAATAGCAGCTGGTGGTGTTGGTGTTCGCTAACTCACCCAAATCGTGAAGCTGGAAGATGGGTTGTTGGCTGCGCGGCGGCGCCGGCACCGGAGGCCTCTTGCCGTCTTGTTGCTGCACCGCCTTGAGGATTTTCTCGAAAACGGCGAATTCGCAGGGGATCTTGAGGATCCCTTCTTGCTGGAACCCGAACTCTTCCTCCGCCTCCCTGAGCAAAACGCCGAACAGGTCGTGTGCGAGATACTCCGTCGGGATTACGAATCGCTTCACCTCGCCGGACTTCTCCACGCACTGCACCGCCAGGCACCCCTTCGGGACCGCCGCCGCGTCGCCGGCCGCCGCAGAGACGTCGGTGAAGGACAGGGTTCTCTTCAGGAACTTGTTGATGCTCTTGCCGGTGCCGGTGCCGGTTTTGGTGGTGGTATCGGCGGTGGTGGTGCCGTTGGCGGCGGCGCTGTTGGTGGCGGCGAGCTTCTTCCACTTCTTGAGGAGCTGTCGGAGCCTGACGATATCTCTGATCTTGTTAGAGCTCCCGGCGGCGGGGGTGGCAGACAACAGCAACTTCTTTGAGTTCTGATCCATTGTTATATTCTTCAATTGTATTTGCAATTTGCAGTTGCCTGGCAACAATATCTATAATGAAGGACCAGTGATCCAAAATTATATATATATGTGCGTGCTTGCTTCTTTTATGTGTATGAAACTGGCTTTACATATATATAGAACCACAAGCTTGGGGTGTTTAATTTTAATTTTAATTTTTTTATTTGGGATGGGGAGTGGGGTGGCCGCGTGGGTGTGGGGAATTTACTGTATACAGTACTTTTTTTGAATTGACCAACTGTATATAGTGGTAGAATTAAACATACCAATACAGGATCATAGCAATCGGAGTGCTGTAGAGTTTTGTCTCTCACTTCTATTCAGTTTCCTTTAGATGGTGTATGAGTTATATAATGTGAGTAGTGAGAGGACTAGTGACCTTGTATAACCACCAGTTATCATTGTTGTTGTTTGTCTTTAGGTCTCCTAAATTCTAATTAGGTCTCCTAAATCTTAATTAGACTCCTAAATGGTAGTCTAGCTATTAGGTTATTAGTGTTGCACCATATTAAATATTTAATATTATCATACTTATCATAATGTTATAATATTAATAATGACCAGGGACAACATTACATACTTATTTCTTTGTTCAAGGCAAAATCTCTTGTCCTAGACACTTAGCATTTTGACCTGATAGGATTGTGATTTGTGATAATATTAATTCTTTTAGAACATCTTCAATTCATTTGTTGATGTTTTTTGAGTTTTTAAGTTGTCAAGTAGGAGAGATGAGAGAGGAAAAATGTGAAAAAAATAAAATTAAAATCAATTAAAAAATTATTTTAAAAATAAAACGGTTGTTTAACGTGCTTAGCTTGGCGCGTGGTGTGCACACACTCGACTGGGCGCTTCTAGTGCACCTCAAATGCACGAGGAGACCGTCTTCTTTTCTTCTTGTGGGGCCAACTAAATCTGACAAAAATCAATGCCTCCTGCAAAAACTCAATTTATTCTCTCTCATTCGCATGTATATTATCACCTGTAAAAATCTCCCAAAATTCTTCGAATAGAGATGCTCTTAATATCATACTCAATTACTAATGTAGTAGTATGGTTATATACTCAAAATAGTAATTATTTTATGAACTTTTCTATAGTACCAACTAAACCCTTTTTTAGTTGTATCTAGTGACAAATGAATATGATATGATATATATATATATATATATATATATATATATATATATATATATTTGTGTAGTTCATGGTTCCACTATCGGACACAATGACTAATCCTCTCGTCGAATTGGTGTTTGGAGATTTAAAGTTGTTCCATACTCAAAACTAAAGATCAAACCATTGATATTTGATTAATGACGAATGAGTCTTTTTCACTCATCCACAACCCCGTAGTTACAAATGAATATGATGATGATTAACATCTTAGACTTATTTTATAAAACCTCATATATACCGATAACTCGATAAGATATAACAAATATATTTTTTTGAGTACTATTAACTTTGTTACAATATAGTTGCAGAAATTAGTAGATATACCCAAATATATTAGTTACATATACTCACATTTATATTTCTTTTTTTTTTTTGGGTTGCTGTTAATGTAAATAGATGAGATTAATGATATACCTTTTCAAGGCTTAAATGATTTTTTTTTTTCATTTATATTTTGATCAACTAACGTTTAAATATATTACATACACCAAGAAATTTTTTCATAAGAATTCCCACTTGCATGTAGTCGTATTATTTATTAAAAAACATATCTCCAAAATAATACGGAGTAATAAATACATAATTTTATGTACAACTCAATAGCTAGTTTTGTAGTCAGCCTAGTTCAACGCCTAATAATTTTTACTTCTATTTTTTTTGGTTTATCAACGTACAGTAAGCATTATTAAAAATTTTTGTCTCTATGCAAGTGGAAATTAAAAATAATTTCCATAACAAGGCATGGAAAATGGAAATGTGAATAAAAAATTAAAATTTTATAAAGAGCAAAGAATATAGTAACATAATGTTAATATTATGTAGATCTTAGCATGTATTGTATGTATCTATATGTATAGTACGCCTTGGTCACTATAGGTCTATAGTGCTTAACTGCCTTCATTTCCTAACCTATCTTAATCATCATAAATATTATAATTAATGATAATTAATAATCTCCTAAATAATTCAATGTGCTTATTAAATGACTTGAAATAGCTGACTTTGGAGTTTATAAATGGAATAATGCATGAACATTAGACCAATACTTTTCTATGGGATTAACAATAATAATTTAACTTTATAATGCAAGAAAGCTCTTCGCGATGAACATGTCCGCGTTTCTGATTCGTTTTTTATATTTAAAAACTCACTAGAAATGTTTCGAAGTTGTTTTATAATTTTTTTTTTTTTTAAGTTTTCGAACTCGTTAAAAAAAAAAAAAGTAATTCAAGGTCGATTTTTTTTTTCTTGAAAGGAATTCAAGATCGAATTTAATTAAAATAAAATTGATTTAAAAGAAATGTGGGTTCTCTCATTCTTTGCTTGAATCATATGTACCTAGATAATTTGAGTCGGGTAATATTATATTATGTTGTTTGGTTCAAGTTATATATGAGATTATCTTATAATGTTATATTACATCAAAGTTGATGTAGTGTAATATTTCAATATAATATGATTATCCTCATTTTCTTAAGTAATCTTAGATTACTTTGAATTATTCTAATAATAATAATAATAATAATAATAATAATAATATATGTTTATATAATCAAATATATATATATATATATATATATATATATAATTTTTTAATATTTAAGCGCGCGCACACACACATATATATTTATTATTGAGGACATTATAGTAAATTGATCCATATAACATAAAATATAACTCTTAACCAAACAATATAATATTATATTTCACAATCCAAACCAAATGTATTACATTCCCAAAATCCAATATTACCTTCTTGGGATAATACAAGATTCCGTGAACCAAATGCCCTTGTATATTACTGTTAATTATTCAATTAATAAACAATTAATATTGATGTATATTTTTAAAAAATTATATAAAAAAATTAAAGTATTATTGACTCTATTACAATGTAGTATCCGTTCATATCTACCTTTTCAATTTATTAAAGCACATGAAGTGAATTAAAAAAAATTATAAATTTAGTCATACATGCATTTTCATGTTTTTGCATGTCTAATGTCCTTTCTCGTTTCTATTTTCATTCTACTTAGATTTAACTTTGAATTAGTCAAACCCTAATATGAAAACCAAAAATATACATACATACATTGTAATAGAGTGCATTCAAAAACTATACATACAACTATACAAGACATACATATGTAAATCCATTATTGCTTTTGATATTAATTTATTAATTCCCTAATCCCAATGCCTTTTAAAAAAAAAAATATTTTCTTAAACATTTCAATTAGTAGAATGGACATGGATTATGCCAAGTTGCTAACCCCAAAGAATTCCCATGTGAAATGCCTATTCTTTATTTCCCCTTTCACTTGATTTATCCACCCCTCCATCCCACCCCAACTCCCCCAATTTATTCAATTTAAAACATCAACTTGACGCCTTAGACCTTATGCAAACAAATATTGATTTTTATTTTTATTTTTGTACAAATACTAAAGACGGGATCAGTCAAGACTAGCCGTACGATCTATCTCATTTTTCGAACAAAACTTGGCTAAGCTATGCCCAAGCCACTAAGTCCTCTCTAATAATTCACTGCAAATTATAAAGTTGTTAGAGGAATATTAAACTACATTAGGCCTCTTCTCGTGATCAGGTCGGACCTATCTTGTTAACTTGTTTGTCGCATTATTTTGTTCTTTGAAAACATGATTAATCTCCCATTCTCATTTTTGTGACATATCTTGTACGTTTTCACATGCACTGTACCTTCTTATAACAATTAACCAGTTATTAATCAATTAAGATCGAGTAAATTGACAATGCATGTAGTATAATTTGAGTAATTTTATATTGGAGCAAAATATATTTAGTGACAGGGATGGATACAGTTAAGATGTTAAAGTATTAGCAAACACTTCGATGGGAGAGTTTATTAAAATTTTGGGACAACGTTAACAATCTAGTGATTATAGGTCAAAGTCAAAGGAGAGCAAACATGTTCACACACACCATTAATTTTTACGTTAACCTCTGGAAAGTAACTTGATTAGTTTAATCATATTAAGTTTAGCATCGCTTTCAAAAAAAAAAAATATTAAGTTTAGCATCATTTAGCAGTATTGGGAGTAACAATAATGCTAATATATGTTATGCATCAATGTACGACCCATTATATTCTTTTAAATTCTTGAAGCAATAAAGTTTTCGAAAATTTAAAATTAGTAAATGGTAATATGGTATTAGTGTTTTTAATTACTTCTAAAATATGAAAAAAAAAATTACATCTATATTATTGACTGTCATAGGGAGACTAGGATAAAAGTTTTACTCAAATATATAGAGTCCTAATAATATATACTTATATTTTTCTCTAAGTGTTAAAACTTTACAAACACGTACAATATGAATCGAATCTAGATTAACTTCATACAATCATATAATATGGTATAATTATTGTTGTTCATAAAAAGTTGAATATCCAACGGACAGAACATCTGAGATGATGTAAATCATGATTACTCAACTGAATACAAGGACTAGAGTCACTAAACCTTTGCTTACGCGGAGTCCCCTCACTTTGAGAGGTTGTTCTCACACTATCGCTGGTAAAATTCGATCTCGAGTCATTGTTCCCAAACTTCACACTTGTCTATATATAATATGATTTTATGAAAGCACAAGAATCAAGGTAGAGTACGTGATCCGTTCCTTACGTTTTACGTACACAGAGCAATTAATAGTAAGACCACATGCTAATACTGCTGACTAGGAAATAATAATATAATATTTTATCCAAATATAGTTATTAAGTGCGTAGGGTTGGAGTACTTTGGAGTGTACTTGTAATTTACTCATTAATATGGTTACAAGTACTTCCCATCCTTCACATGACTGCTGCCACCATGTGAAACTCAAATTAAAACTTTAAAAAAATTTGTATTATGTCAGAACATAACTGTCAACTTCTTTCTAAAATCTTCCACTACGTGGTATTATAATGTGAGGATCATAATGCATCTTTTAAGAAAATTTTAATTTAAAATATTGAAGTTTTTATGGTAATTTTAATTGACAAATAGCGCACTGGTTTGGAAAAATGTTAAATAAAATAATTTGGTTGTAGTATACTAAGTATGGGTTTAGATCTTAAGCGTGCAAAATGAGAGCAGAAGTAAATCAAGCAATGGTACAAAGAATCCAACCACATCTGGCAGGGGAGATTCTATTCTATTGTAGGATACAATAGCTTAGCTTAGCTAGTAGCCTAGTAGAGCTTATAGCCAACCCAGCTCTTGACTCTTGAGTTGGCATGTTTTATAACATTTTCTAATGGAAAATGATACATGTATTTTCATGGAGTAATTAAAACTCCTACCATGTATCATGATTTGATTTATAGAAGATAAAGAATAATAAAAATCGACACATAATTAATAGCTACCGATATAAAATGTGCCAACTATAAATACAAAATCTGACTTGATAATCAACTGCAAGTACAAAATGTGATAATTATAGATAAAGAATCTGAAAATTATTTTTGGACCAAGATCTCCTGGTCCATGGTATAATTTGCCCAAACCGGTAGCCACTGATGCAACCAGTATAGTAACACAGAAAACCAAATACGGAGTAATATTTTCATGGGCCTAATGGAGTAATGGGTAATGGCCACCTGTTCTTGGCCACAGAAATGGGCAGCACAGATGAAAATCTGAAATCTGGGCTGGCTGGGGAGATTTTTGCAAGCAAATTAAAAGATGCACCATTCAAACTGCACTTACTTTTGAAGTAAAAAAGTACAGGATACAGGATCACAAAGTAGGATTTATCCAATCCACACCTTCAAATAATGGCTGCAAGTTTTCCTCGTCACTCAAAAAAAAGTACAATATACAGACAGTATGAAATAACAACTTGAAAAATATAACGGGAGGATTGGTGAGGCGCATGTTTTACATGTCATGCAAACAACCAGCACTATACAAATATAGAGTCAATTATTTGAGTAAACACCCCGCGTTGCAAAAAAGTATATTCAACATCTTGACGGGGATTCAGTTTTGGTGTACAACTATGTATGAAATAGTGAACCTGATTGTGCTCGCTTGGCTAGTAACCCAACCAACTTGATGGTATCGGCTGAAATCTTTGTTTAGCATATGCCAGTATCTCACAGTACTTGACATGATTCAGGCAGTCGCGAAAATCTGTAAAGAGTCTGTCAAACACTCTCCACTGAACTTTGGAAGACCTAGAGTACGGGAAAGGCAAAATAACCTGCCAATGTATGCATTATACAACGCATTTGGATTAGCAGTGAAAGCATGAAATGGCAACAAAACAAGAGAAACGAGCAACTTTACGAAACTTGGCTATTGACTATTCTGTTTCCTCCATTTGCCTCTAGTGTCAAAGAACTTGCAGATAAATTTGCAGATATTAACAGGAATTTCTGGGATTCAAGTATTCAAGAATGGCTACAAAATGTACGGTGAATGATGATTAGGATAATGCTCTGATATTTACTTACGTCTCCCTCTGATGCCAGACGCTTAAGTATGAGAAGTGTTTGTTCATTTTCTTCCATGTTGTCGATCACAGCCAACCAGATTAACGATGCCAGTTCATGTGCCTTATCCCTTGATTTACCGCATGCAATAAACTGATCTGCCAGAAAGTAAACTAACTCTAAGTAAATTAAGAAGAAATATCAATACAGCACATCTAGAACCATATTTCAGAGTTTTTCTACTATTGAACTTTCGATGTTCCATCAAGGTGACTACTTGTTAGAATATATTCCACTTTGTTTGATGGGCAGAACACTCTCAAAAAGCTTTCCTCAATTTGTTCCCTTCCCATGGAAGATTAGGCCCTGTTTGGTAAAATGGTTGTTAGCTAATTGGGTTAATTAGAGGGTATAACTAGTTGATAACATTAGCTGATTGTAGAAATGTGTTTGGTAAATTAGCTGTTAGCTGATAGCTGTTTGATATAACTTGTTTGATATAACTTATTTTCTCAAAAAGCTAATTGAAAAAGTTGCTTTGAGCAGCTTTTTGAATTTTAGCATTTTGAAGATACAAAAAGTTAATTAACCAAACACTTCTATTGATTTTTTAACCAAATCAAACAATTAGTAGTAATCAAAAAGCCAAAATCGGTCTATAAGCTGATTATTTTTACCAAACAGGGCCTAAATAAATACGGTGTGCATAAAACGAATGAAAAGAAACAATGAAATGTTTCTCAGCATACAACAATAAATTCTATTGAGAGTGGTATAAAGGGCACCTATTATAGTCCCGTGAAGTATCCCGGATGGAGGAGGCATTTTTGAAATTTCTAGCTGTTCTTTCAGAAACAAATAACTGTGGCCTACGATCTCATCCACTTCATCATCCAAAGAAAACATGTGTTTACTTATGTACAATGCAGCATACCTCCTGAAACGAGGAAATAGCACCAGATAGTCAGTCATTCGAAGAACTAAAAAATTTGCTTTGACCTAAATTTAGAAGCAAGAAATATTCTAAGATCGATGTTATCTTGTATTCATATGCTAAAAGGTATTCATTCCTTAGTACCTTTTGCTCATCCCTCGAGGGATAGGCCCAGGCCACCGTTTGGCTAGGCCAGCGAAAGGAAAAGTCCTGATTAGAGCAGCATGCCACAAGCATTCTTCTTGGAACAGATTGGCCCATTGTTTCTTAACGCAAGATAACTGGCTCCACTCTGTTATGGGTACCCGAATGAAAATCTCTACCAATATATGATCAGGAAGCCTTGCAAAAGGATTATCAGCAGTAGGGAAAGAGGCACCTTTCCCCAGATCTACCATTGGGCTACAGAACAGCACTGCTAAACACAAGATCAAGAAAAAGATAGTACACCATACCAATATTAGCCAATCAGCAACATAAATACACCGGGACTGCCCAACGAGTGAGCAGATAAACGATTTGTTTGAAATGGCATAAGATAAAGGCCCTGTTTGGTAAATGGCTGTTAGCTGATTGGGTTAATTAGAGGGTATAACTAGTTGATAACATTAGCTGATTGTACAAAGGTATTTGGTAAATTAGCTGTTAGCTGATAGCTGTTTGGTATAATTTCCTTTCTCAAAAAGCTAATTGAAAAAGTTGCCTTGAGCAGCTTTTTGAATTTTAGCATTTTGGAGTTACAAAAAGCTAATTAACCAAACACTTATATTGATTTTTTTAACCAAATGAAAAGTTAATAGTAGTCAAATAAGCCAAAATTGGCCTATAGACAAACAATTTTACCAAACAGGGCCAAAGCGTCCCTACTTCGGAATCGTAGAAAACCCTCTCTTAAATCACAACCCATAACCTATGGCATATTACTGCCAGCATGTGTGCACTGGGTAACCCCGCCTTGTCACCCTAGCCGGGACCACAAGGGTATAAACCAACCAGATTGCCCATAGCTGACCAATAGGTCACTTTCGTTGGAAACCGAACTTGAAACCTTATTGTTTACTAAGTCAAACGGTCTGAATAACTTGGCTGGGTTGCCCCATTTACTTTAACATTATGATTAGAGTAGCTAATACATCTGGATGAATACATGCAGAGAAATCACAAGATTGCTCTGGTTTTTTTTTTTAACATTTTTCTGTAAGTTCTCAAATCCCCTTCAACACATGATCGAAAAGTGAGGAGCTCCGGGAGAGTTTAGGAAGTTCAATGAAGAAAATAAAAAACCAGAATGAGCAGAGCATTAAACAACAGATTAAAAAGTCAGAACCTTGTTAATTATCAAGGAAATTAGAGAAAATTATCTTCCACCGATAACTCATTCCGGCGAAATGAACCGCCGGAATTACAAGACACGAAAGCCTAACAGAGTACCAGAAGATAAAATAGACATCCCGTATGCACGAAAACAGATTAAGAAATCAAACTTCAATGAAAGAATTTTCAAAATTGGGAATTGAATGAGAATTCAACGTAAGGTTGGGGAATTCCGAGATTTTAGAAGAAAATATGTGCGTATAATTCTAAAGCTGTAATAATTAAGAAGGGGAGTAAGAGCTCACCGGAGCGGTTGGTTTCCCGCAGTCTGAAAATTGAGTTTGAGCGTTGGTCGGAGCAAGAGCAGAGACAGAAGCCGGCAGCTGGGCTCAAGGAAAAAAAGTCGGTGTAAGGTTCTTTTCTTGCTTTCTTGCCGTTTGTCATTTTTACTGCTTCCTAGTTTTAATGTTATGCGTTTTTGGCTCTCCTGAATCGCATTCGATATTCCCCTTCAACCCGATTCTACATTTCTTACCCCATGGGCTATCACATTAGATGTAACACTCACGTTATGATTATGACTATGTATATTCAGATCATAAATAACGTATAAATTATGTATTTTTTAATATTAAAATTGTGAACTTTTAGAATATAAATTGTGTTTCTAAGACAAAACACATTAGAATTGTTAGAGTCATCAAATTCTAATATGTTAATATTGTGCGACATTAGTATTTTAAAAGAACTTCTGAATACAAAATAAAGTAATTAATTACATATATAACATTATGTGTTCGTAATATATAATTTGTGATTTTTTTTTAAATGGCACTTTTCTTCCTGAATTATAGGTTTATAGCATTTTTTTTCCTCCTATGTTATTTAGTCAAACGAAAATCTATACTCTCACTTTGTATAAATGTTTGGAATAAGGGTCAAATAGACCATCGAACTACACACGAAATTGCAATTAGGCAATCAAACTAAAAAAAAATAAAAGAGGCTACAATTGAGTCCCTCAACAACACAAAATAATACAATTGAACAAAAAATGACTTGTTTACTTGTTGGTGGTTGACGTGATGGTTATCATATTAAAAATTAATTTTTAAAATTTTATTTTAATAATTTAATTTTAAAAAAATGCCAGAGGTCGCTGCTTGGAGATGAAAATGTCTTTTTCAAAATTAGTAATAAGACAAGGGAATGTGAGATTACCTAAGAAATTGGATGGTGTTTCACATTCTCTTCCAATAGTTAAAAACTTAATGTGGAGGTTATGTTAGATTCTCTGGGAAAATTACATAACTTGAATCAAATATGAGAATCTTATATTCCTAAGCAAATATGATGAGGATTATGATATCTGTATATTCAATAATAGTAGTCCGTACAAGCGTATATGAATACACGAATATGAGTCCTACCACAACACAACACCTAGTGACAATAGACTCCTAACACTCCCCCTCAAGCACAAGGTATGGAAGAAACAACATTGAGTTTGTCACGAATGAGAGTATATCGCGGACCAGGTAATGCCTTGGTGAAAACATCCGCAATCTGATCTTTGGTGGAAATAAAGTTAACTTGCAGTTCCTTATTGGCTACCTTGTCACGAACAAAATGGTAGTCTATCTCCGCATGCTTCGTCCTAGTGTGGAAAATCGGGTTGACACATAAGTAAGTGGCACCCAAGTTGTCACACCAAAGAGTAGGAGGCAACCCCAGACGCAGACCAAGCTCGTTCAATAAAGAGACCAACTAGGTAACCTTTGCAGACACGTCAGCAAGTGCCTTATACTCAGTCTCAGTGGACGAACGCGCAACAGTGCGCTGCTTCCGACAAGTCCATGAAATTAGATTACAGCCAAGAAAAACCGCAAAACCACTCGTAGACTTTCTATCAACCGAATCACCAGCCCAATCCGAGTCAGGGAACGCATGCACAACAACTGAAGATGACTTACGAATATGCAAACCATAATGAAGATTGCCCATTAACGTACCGTAACACACGTTTGAGCATAGCCCATTGCTTAGTCGCCGAAGAGTGCATGTGCTAACGCAACCTGTTCACTGCATAAGACAAGTCCGGGCGCGTAAATGTAAGATACTGCAAAGCCCCTGCAAGACTCCGATACTGCGTCGGATCCTCAAAAGGAACGACAGAATCAGTGGACGGCCGAGACAGAGACACCGGAGTCGCCAAAGGTTTGCAATCCACCATACCTGCACGATTCAAGATGTCACAGATATACCTCTACTATGAAAGAAGCAGTCCGCCATGCCAAGGAATCGTCTCAATTCCAAGAAAGAAAGATGGAGTCCCCATGTCACGAATCTTGAATTTAGTGGCTAAATCCGTAAGAAGACTCGCAACATGAGAAGAATCAGATCCCATAACCAAGATGTCATCAACATACACCAATAAATACAAGTGAACAGAATCACGAGTGTAAATGAACATAGAGACATCAGTCTTTGAGGGTGTAAAACCAACCGAGACCAAGAAGGAATGAAGGCGATCGAACCACGCCCGAGGGGCCTGCTTCAGCCCATATAGCGACCTCTATAGCAAACACACATGATCAGTCCTGGACTTGTCCTCATAACCTGGCGGTCAGCGAGGTGGCGGTGGCCTTAGTGGTCGCCATGGAAGGGGTTGCGATCGCGGCCGGAATAGCGGTCCCTGGTGTCAGATCAGGCGACGATCATTCGGTTTCGTCTTGCTTCCTGCGGTATGATGGCCTCGGAGATGGTCCGTTCGGACGAATTGCCGACAGAGCCATTATCACTACCGAGAGGTACCATGAAAAGAATGATCGTAACCTGCTGATACCAGATGAGGATTATGATATCTGTATATTCAATAATAGTAGTCTGTACAATAGTATATGAATACAATAATTGAGTCCTACCACTACACAACACCTAGTGACAATAGACTTTCTAACAAATATAACTTTAATTATCTTATACGGAGTATTATATAACTTCATTAACTTGAACCAAACAACCCTTAAAATAACGGAAGGGACTAAAATAAATATATAAATAATAAATAATTCATGAATAAAAGCGCTATAAATATATAACAGGGGAAAAAAAACATTGTGATTTTCCCATGATATTGTTTTGTATGTCCAAATCCGTGCCTTCAAGACAGGACATCGGTTAAAAGGTGCTATATCTCTCACTGCTCAGCTTCGTCTTCATATAATCATTTACAACCTCTCTCTGACACTTCGCACACAGTCGACCATCTGAATCTAAATCTAAATTCGCAGTTATCAGGATATTGATCGGCAGGCCTTCTCCTTCCGGCGGATCACGGAATTGTGAGGTTTTACTTTAAGCAATTCGATTACGGTTATCTTTCGTCACAATGCCGTCGTTGTTCGGAGGTCCGCTGACTACTTTCGAGGATTCCGAAAAGGAAAGCGAGTACGGATACGTCCGCAAGGTTCGCCTTCTCGTTTCGATCCGTACCTCTACTCCTCTTATTTCGTTTTTTATCCATTTAATTTTTAATGCTCAGGATAACTGTTTGAATTGCGGATTTCATATTCATGTCTGATCTGAATGGCTGTCTTTTTTCTCTGATTTACTCACTGTATTTTGTGTAGTTGCTTATGCAATTTGCATTTGAAGTTTTGAATTTACTAGGTGGCTGCTCTGTTGTTTGTAGTTGAGATGAGCATTCGTTACTTCATTGTGCTACTGTTGATGATTTGTTCGGTTGTGATTTTAATAATATTGATGTTTGGACTATGAAAATATATCTTTGTTGCTTTTCGTAACGTATAAATGAAGAAAATTCAATGCGAAGATGTGACAGCCGTTTGTTTGTTATTTGCCTATGAAGAGATGGACGTGCAATTGACCTAATTTCATCTGGAATTATAGAAAATAACCACTACCTTATGTTTCATATGTTAGCTTGCTAATTATGTACTGCTTTTGAATTCACTTCCTAGATGATTTTTTCTTTGATGCTTCAAATGCTTGTGCTTTTAGTTCAAAACAATCTTTCTAAGTTGTCTATGTTACTTAGTTATTTATTTATTTTTCTAATACCACTATGCGAATAGCATCTTTGCTTCAACAAGTGTGAAAAATACAAAATTCAATTACTTATACTCAATTCAGAGGATGATTGAAGATTGCCTACCTCGTGAATCTTTATAGAATTTAGTTGTTTGGTTTCCTCTATAGTCAACATCAAAGAATAAGGTTTGTGTCTCTGCATATAGGTATCTGGTCCAGTTGTTGTTGCCGATGGAATGGCCGGGGCTGCCATGTATGAATTGGTTCGTGTTGGACATGACAACCTTATCGGGGAGATCATTCGGCTGGAAGGAGATTCCGCTACAATTCAGGGTACATATCTCCATATACTGTCCTTCTCTGTTCATGATGCATTCTCCTCTGCAGACTCATGCTATGCTTATTGTTTATTTTTTTCTCCCTCTCTTTGTATGTGCTCTCTTTCAAAAGCAGGGACATGAATAAAATATTTCAGAATTAAGTGCAAGAAATCAAATTCTCAATTTTGATTGAAAATGGGCATGTCTTACTAAAAAAGAAAATTTACTGCTTTTATTTCCTAGTTAGAGTTCCCTGAAGAAATTTTAATGAAGAAACAAGAACTAGTAATGAGTTTTGGTGATAATATTTTGGAATACTAGATCTCACAAGCGTTTTGAAATATTCTCAACAATTATCTGCTTTTATATGCAGTTTATGAAGAAACAGCTGGCCTGATGGTTAATGATCCTGTTCTTCGTACTCGTAAGGTGTAAACGTACTTCTCTTCTTTTGATTTGTCTTTACCTTTTGAGGTGTGGATATGCAATTTGAGTTTTGAACTTTTAGTTTGACATTTTTGTCTTTGAAATTAAAGCCTTTGTCAGTGGAGCTTGGTCCTGGAATATTGGGGAACATATTTGATGGTATTCAGGTTCATAACCTTCTGTTCTCTTCTTTTTTTATTTAACTTGTCTGAATATGAGGGTTATCATGCACTTGTGGTTATGTTTCACTTGTAGCTTCTCTTAGTGAAGCAACTTCCTGATGATAGTCCTTCTCCTTTGTTTGTATACTCAATGCAGAGGCCATTGAAGACAATTGCTATAAAATCTGGTGATGTCTACATTCCCCGTGGTGTATCTGTTCCAGCCCTTGACAAAGACATTCTTTGGGAATTTCAGCCTAAGAAAATAGGTAGTGTAGAATATTTCAGTGTAGCCATTCGTCCTGTACTTGAGAGATGTTTGTTTGCTCTGTTGGTTTTTCATATATGACTTGGTTTGTTATGCCCATTATTGTTTTAGGTGAGGGAGACCTCTTGACAGGTGGGGACCTCTATGCGGTAAGCTTGATGTAACACAAGTTTTCTTGTTTATAGAAATTTGAAAATGGTTTTGTGAAATCATTTTCCTCTATTTCTCACC